AGTTTCCAACTTTTTTTTCCGCGGAGTTTTCCGTCTGGAAAACCTGAAATTGTCAGGGGTAAAAAACGACTTCGTCACCTCCCGGTCAAAGTATCACAAGCGCCATGCGACGTTTCAAAATTTCCGCCGCCATTTCACTCTTCTTACAGAGACATGGTTGGTTGAATCTGTTTTGAACTTTCTCTGAATTTTATCGGCAGCACAAAAAAAAAATCCAGTAAAATTTTCGGAGAACTTCGTTGAAAAATTTCTCTGGAAAATAATAAAATGGCGGCGGAAATTTTGAAACGTCGCATGGCGCTTGTGATACTTTGGCCGGAGGGTGACGATTTAGAAAACTGGGGAAAGTCGGTGAACTGCATCAAAAAATGCATGGAATTCAAAGAAAATTTCAATTCGATTTGAGAAATCTGGAGAAGATGAGATTTTTTTTTGTTTTCCAAAGTTTGCTGGGTACCGTAGAAAAGCCGATTCCGCAATTTTTAAGATTAAATTAATTTTGAATTCGTAAAGTCAGCTGTTTGTAAAGTCAATTATGTTAATACACAATTCCCCCCAAAAATAGGGGAAAAGGAAGGATTTCCAAAAAAACCCAGTTGCGCCAAACGTCACTTAAATTGTGCTGATCTGTATGTATATTTCAGTAAATCTGATGTTTGTACATTTGCATTATCATTCCAATTAAAAACGAAAAAATTTATAGCACATTGAGGAAAGGCCGATAATATTTTGAAATGTGCACTCGCGTGTTACCTCAGAAGTGACATAAAAGTGATTACAAGTTGCAAAATCTGAGGAAGCGCGGATGGAAGGCTTTCGAATGCACCATGCTTGATTTTTAAGGTACCATGGTTGCCAACAACTGTGCGTCTAGCGGCTGCGGGGTCAAGGCATTATCCTGATAATTAACTGATTACTTCAAAATCAGTGTGCCGACGCGACGTTGGAATTTCGAAAGCCCACATTCTTCGCTCTCTGATTGTCCTCTTGTCAGTGTTGTCATTTCCCTAGCCTTCCCAAATCGATAATTTGATTAATAAACAGTCTATACCTGCTGGAGTTCACGCGCTAAAATTGCGTGACATCGATTTTATTTTCCCTATTCCGTAGATCAGATAATTACAGTGACTTTTATTACCGACCAAGGAAAATTCCGAATATTTTCCGGTGTTGTCCCAATTGTTTGCTCAGTTTTACAGATAAATACTGAGAGACTAGAAAAAATTGATAAATAAATAAATAAATTTCTCCGATATGATAGATTTTAATTAGCAGTGCTGCTTCCTTTTACGTTTCTGCTGAGAGTTTTCGTCTAAGCATCTCCAACTTTTGGGAAAAATTTAGTAATAAACACTCAAATTCTGGTTGATTAGGAAAGCGTAGCTCTCACCTCCGCGAGGAATTAAATTTTAGCATCATGATCAAATATGTTTGTAAGCACCGACTTGTAGCTCTAATTTTTTTTTTGTTTTTACCTCATCTTGAAGATTTTACCGATTGAAATTTTGTATGCTCACAAAATAAGGGCGGAAATAATGAAAAATTTCCATTGAAAGGAAAAAAACCTTAGTCTTGCTAGCCACCGGCGTATATTGTAATTGAATAGCTTGTTTTAAAGAGAGCCTAACTTTGGAAAAAAAAAATGGGAATCCAGAAAACGTAAAAAACTGACCCTAACCGAAAATCATAATAGGTGAATAGAAACCGCACACTGAGAAAAAAGTCTCTTATAGGACCAGAGTTCAGACTCCTATAAAGTTTGACAAGAAAAATACTCTTGATTTAATCGGATTTTTGCTCGAATTAAAAGCAAATCCGCTAGAATTAAGAGACTGGGCTCTCGATTCAAGCAATAATCCGCGCGAATAAATAGTATGTTTTCTCATCAAATTTGTTGAGAGTTTAGACCCAGGATCGTAGAGGCTTTTTTTTCCAGTGAAACTGTGTTAGTGCTTGTCACTTGTCACTAGTTCTTAAAATAAGCCCTAGCCGGAGCTAAAACTATGATACTTCAATGTATAATACGAACATTTTTAAATCCTCGAATCGGACGCTTTTCGGAACAAACAAAATTTGTAACTATCTTTCTATGCAAAATGAAAGAAATAAAAGATGCGTATGACCTGAGTACAATTTCTCTGCGAGTAAACGGAATTTTTATTTTTTTGCCCCTATCTTAAGAACCAATGACCCCGGCCTGTTTTAAGAACCAATTTGAATATCATAACACAAACATTGTAATTTCTATGTACCTACTGAAGATCAATGAATCCTAAATTTGAAAAAAAAAAAAACGAAGAAAAAAATTGACCTTCTCACCGCGCGCACAAAAAAAAAATCAACTTTAAAACCTTTATACTTTTGATTTGCGTGCGAAACGCGTCGCGCAGCGAGTTCAAAGAATACGAAGCCAGACCGCCAACTTAGCGGTAAAATTCGCGTATTTTTTCCACCAAGCCAGCTGAGAATGCATTTTCCGGCATAACGGACACACTACAGTGGGCCGGCAGCGCGTCGGCATTAACGGGGGAGTAGGGGAATTCCGAACTTTGGCACGGTTCCGCAATTATTATGAGGGTCAGTGGCACTGATAAAAAGTGTTGGAGTCAACATCACGACATGAGCATTTCCTCAGCTTCCCGCAAGCCGCGCGCGCCGCACCGCGTCGAGACGTTTATGAATAAACTGTAAACACCGTCTTTAATTCTCAACATCCTCTGCCCTCAGTTCAGAGTACGGAGATGCAGAATTTCATAAAATTTAGAAAATTTAAGTGAACAGCCAGAGACAGGGTTGCCACAGAATTTAGAAAATTAAAATCCCTAACAATTGAAGAAATATGTTAGATGGTTAAAAAGACATAATTAGAAATAGGTTTCAGGCGAAATTTGTTGTTCTAAACGTTCAACCCATTCGGTAAAGCAAATTTAGATGACCTAACAAGCTTTCCCTGACATTTTCGTCATTTTCCCTGACACATCCCGGTTTTCCCGGTATTCCCTGAGTGTGGCAACTCTGCAGAGATGGAAAAGGTCATTAAATTTCACGAATTTCAATTTTCTACCTCTCGGGTTGATGTTTTCAATGACCCATCAGCTCTCTGGTCCAAGACATCGACCTAAGCGGAAGAAAATTGAATTTTCAAAAATCAATATCTTTGGTGTTTTTAGACAAAAGTGGAATGCATTACACGTCAATTAAATGCCAAATCCCCGAGAAGTCAGTCGTAAGCATATTTTTGCCGAAAAAAAGACTGCATTCGAAAAAGAACATATGGTTTTGATCACCCATGTTATTTTCCACAAGGAATGATGGTCGTTCGGTGTCTAATTCGCTGTATTAAAATCGCGAGAAGATCTGGTGTTCATGCACTTTTCTCATTCCAAGCGGACTCATAATTTCTCTGCGATGTAGAGAAGAAAAGTTGGAAGGGATGAAACCCGTGGCACAATTAATTCGGCCTCCAAGTAGGTAAAATTGCATATCCCCGAAATGAAGGAAAATGTCAACTCTTTTTGACCGACTCAGAGACTTCAACGCCTGAGTAAAAAAGTTGGATGGGGCGAAACACGCGATACAAATATTTTAACTTCCCAGGGGATAAAATTGCATATTCACAAAATGAAGGGGAGCACGGTGTCCTATGTATATCATCGTAATTATTCGATTCGTCAAACCCAACTTTAAGTTCGTATAACCGACAGGGCCGGATTTACTTTTTTAGCGCCCTAGGCTAAACTGACGGTGGCGCCCTTAAAAGTAGGCGTTCTCGGGGGGGGGGGGTCCCCAGACGCCCCTCCCCTCCAGATCAGAAGGAGGCTGTTAGGTGTCAGGAAAATGTTCAAATTCACCTTTAAAAAGCACGATTTTAAACAGTTTTGAGGTACGTTTACGTTTGCAAGTTGGTTTTGAAAAATAAAAAGTAACGAAAGGCTTGTTAAATTAAAAAAAAATAAATAAATTCTCAATAGTTTTGCGCCCCTCAGAATATTGCGCCCTAGGCTGCAGACTATGTAGCCTATTGGTAAATCCGGCCCTGATAACCGAACTCATGAGGTCAAAAGAATTTATGAAAGAAGCTCGGTCACATGAACCGAATCGGTTTAGTTACACGAATGAAAAAATCGGTTTTATTCTAAAGAACGAACGGCTCAACGCACTGATTTGTGATAAGTCTAAGGCAAAAGCCTTGAATTTTTGAAAAATAATTGCGGAAGTGTTAAATTATTGAGAAAACTACAGAAGTGTGGAATTTTTAGAAAATTAACGCGACCGCTCTTAAGTTTTAGAAAATTACTGCGAACTAGCTATTTCTCGGTGAAAATTACGGGGTACGCGAGTGTGTAGGCTGAATCATTATTTGCTTAAAATTGTGTACACAGAGAGAAATTTCAACACAAAAGTATGGTTACGGGAAATAAAACACAAAATAACCCTAGCCTCCGATTAACAATTTCAAAAGAAAATGTCATCTAGTTTTCATAGATTTTTTTAAAAAAAAAAAACGAGTGCTGGATACCATCGTCGCAATCGGAGGAATGCATTTCCCCAGCTTCTTCGTTGTTTTTTGAGCTTAACTCATCAATCATGCGATCCTCGGATCACACGTTCGGTGAGAAAATTGTTGTCCAATAGGAACACTGAAAAAAATTTCGGGAAAAATCCTATTCGGCGTTGACCCTATCAAAATTCATTAGTTGATGTATTTTCCAGTTGATAAAAACGGCAACAAACGCGTTTCCCGCGCTCCGCCCATCCTCCGCGACGATCAAGTGTTGTCTGAACCAATGAGCGACACTCTGAGTGGCGCGGCAAATCCTCGTTAGTTTGAAAAAGCGCGCCTTCTCCACTCGAGCGCTTTTAACTCTTCGGCGCGCCTGTCATTTTTTCGAGTTCAAGAACCGATTGCAAAAAGAAGTTAATAAAATGAAACGTGGTTTGAATGTTCTTCAGCCTCAATCTTATTATAGTGTTTACAACCTGATTTTTCTGTTTCTCAGACTTGCGGCGCAACCGGACGCTCATACAAATATGGCGAAGGACGTGTTCTGTGCCAAAACTTTGCCAAGTCGCTACTGACAAAGGTGGGTCTGAAGCCAGGTGAAGTTGTTGGTATCCTCATGCCCAATATCCCTGAGTATGTCATCGCCATCCACGGAGCCTTGGAAGCAGGACTTACAGTTACCGTTGTCAACCCTCTCTACACTGTCGGTGAGTTAAGACAAAGACCTTTCAGATCTCGACCCTGGAAGCAACGGCTGTTAAAAAACTGTTGAAAAAGACAACCCTTAAAAAAACTGTTTAAATGTTCGTCATAGGAGACTCTCTTTAGGTATTTTTGTAAGTAAAATTTACAGGTAGAGTACCTAGTTTTCCAAAGAAAAAATTAAATATGACAGGAAGTCTAACATTGCTAACGGAGGTACGTAGTTTCGCGTTTTGGCTAGGTATCGAAATGTGATTTCCAGAATTATTTAGAAAACCAAGGCTACCAAGTTTCACCATCAATCTGAAGCCAAACCATATTATCTGAGAAAAATTTTTTGTACGTATTTTCAACACTATTTTTCAATGTACGGTGAAGGTTTGAAAAAATTTGTGAGAGCCAAAAAAGATCCTTTTAAGCTTTCCTTTAGTGGATATCGGAAGTGAACTAAGATGCCCGTACCATGATACTGTTTTATTTTTCCAATTTTTCCAAGCATCTATCTAGTCATTAGTCCATAGGTAGCAAATTTTGAAAATGGCAGATTTAATCTTAACTATTTGTTTATTTCAGGTGAAATAAAACGGCAGTTCGAAAATGCCGAAGTTTCTTGCGTCATCACCATTGAACAGTTCGTGCCTTTGGCTCAAGGGGCAGTGGAAGGACTTAAAGGGTACAAAGGACACATTGTTGTTGGCGGTGACTCCGCTCCCGAAAAGAAAGTCTTTGGCCTTAAAGAGCTCATAATGGAAGGATTTTCACTCGACACACCACTGCCAAAAGTTTCCGCTGATGATATAGCCCTTTTGCCGTACTCAAGTGGGACAACTGGAATGCCCAAGGGAGTCAAATTAACCCACAAAAATTGCGCAGTCAATTTAGAGCAGTGCAAGCACCCTGATTTTGTCAACCATACACCAACATCAGGTAACAGAAAAGAGTGAAAAATTAATTTCACCAGAGAACCAAAAAATATAAGTACTCTAAACCAAAAATGTCCATCAGGCCAGAAAATGTTATTTCTTTTGTTTATATTGATTGAAAATGAAAAATATGTCGAAACTGATTTGCGAATCGACCGTAGAAAATGAGATGAGCTAGCAAGAATGTCAAATTAGCTTTCTTAAGTTTTAAAATCATATTGTTATCCTTTCAGCACCAATTGTAGTTTTTAATCACTTCAATAATTTCTGCTACTCAATGGTGAATATATTTTTATGTGATCGCTGGATATTTTTACATAATCAATTTGACTGAGGCTTTGGTCTGATTTCAGAAACGGAACAAGAAAGAGTATTGAGTGTCCTGCCTTTCTTTCACACATACGGGTTTAATGGTATTTTGAACACAGCACTCATGTATGGTATGCACATGATAACCATTCCAAAATTTACGCCTGAAGCATATATCGAATGTGTCCTCAAGTATAAGGTTTGTATTCCGTTCAAATTCCATTATCTAATCTTTATTTGTAAACATTGAAAATTTAAAGTATACGACTATCCAAGGAAACAGACACCTCAATTCACAGAGTTAAAATTTTTAATAAAGTGATTTCAGTCCAGTTGGGTAGAAAAGTCACATTTTGAAATTTTAATGCAAATTTCTCAAAAAGGTCAAAAAGAATAAGTTGCAAGTGGTTTACCTCAATTTTGTGTCTTACAAAAAGTTAAGTTATACATTATCTGGCAATATCATATCCTGTGGGTACACGAAAGAGTAGAAACTGAATCACATAAACCCCACCTCATCTGTATTGCCTGTCGTGAGTGAGTCCAGTTGGATGTCCAGATTTAAAACCTGGAAAGAAGAGCTTTGTGCCTATGATTATGCGTTTTGCCTCAAATGTCCATCTTAAGGATCTTCAAGTGACATCTACTTATTTAGGTATATGCTGTGTAAAATTTTCTCCTGCACTACATATACTACAGCAAATTTTATCTAGCTGACTGTCACAGACTTTGTCTGTTGAACAGAAAGCTGTTTTCCTTAAAAGCTTTTACATTTCAAGCCGGGCCAAGTGGCCAGGGTATTATATATGCTAACAAGCACAATGATAAGTTATCTTTGATCTAATTGAATTGATGTTTCCTTTTTTCCACAGCCAACCATTCTTTTTGTAGTGCCGTCCTTACTCTTATTCTTAGCTTCACATCCTGCTGTCACGGCAGAAACTTTATCATCAATCAAAGAAGTAACTAGTGGTGCTGCTCCAGGACCAAAAAGTTTAATAGATAAATTCAAGTACAAATTAGGAAGAGATAATGTTAGTATTAGACAAGGTAAGAGAAATTTCAAGAAAAATAATTTCAATCCGTGATATTCAAAGGTTGAGCCAAGGGGTGGGCCATAAAATGTACTTGTTTGATATTAGCAGATCTCAGTGAATGCTGAAATGATCCCTGGGGCTCTCACACATTTTTTCTAGCTTCCCTTTACGATGGTATTTGATCAAAAAAATAGTTTCCCAGCGCATTTGTGGTGCTAGGTAGATTATTCTCATCAAATATTCCAATCTCACATATTTTAGGGAGTCTGTTTTTAAATGAAGTCAAGACCAGAGTTTTACATATTCTTAAAAGTATTTTAAAGTTTCAATTGAATGGCGATGACTTGCCTGAATGAAAAGACTTTTGAATTACATTATGAAAAAAAAATTGTCCCTCAACCTCCAGTAATTTTTTAAACCGCTTACCCAACAGTGGTGCACTTACTGTGAAAATCATGAGTGAGGGAAATCTTTACGTCATGAGTTTTTCCCAAAAACATGAGACTGCATCTGAAAGTCTTCAAGTTTTTCTTGTAACTGTTGGGTGATGATAAAATTTTGAAAGCATTTAAAGAAAAAAATTTGAAATTTGTAGGGAACATAAGTCATTTTGTTTTTACCTAGGCATGTTTCTCATATTCAAATAGAAAAGTGAATTGTAAAACTTGTTTTTTTAAACTAGTTTAGTGAATATACGACTCGGCTCATCCGTCTAGTTGTTTTTCAATGAAGTTACTGAAAAGTTACCGACTACTTTTACTCAATGTAATTTTTTTCAGAAGTTCTCCACGGCTCTAATAAAAAGCACAGATTTTTTTTCATTCATCCTCTCACAATAAGTTGTACATCAAGAGCAGTTGTATCTAAATCAACCATCAGTATCTGTTTTCATTCATAAATTTTTTGTCTTTCAGTTTTTTTTAAATTTTTTGTTATGTATGTATTCAACAAAGAATTTTGATTTTCCTACGTAGGTTATGGAATGTCTGAAACCTCTCCTTGCACAACCTTAACACCTTGGAATTTACCTGCCAGTAAATTGGGTTCCGTAGGTCAATTAGTTAAAGGAACACAAGCTAGAATTGTTAGTTTAACAACAAAGGAAGATTTAGATGCTCATCAGTCAGGAGAGCTGTACGTCAGAGGACCTCAGGTAAGGAAACCAATAAATATTCTCACATTTTAACGTCAAGCCAAAACGGTCACAGTGACTGGCGTCTTTTCATTTTGCTGCTGTAAGATGGAGCTATAACAGGGAGAAGTTTTGGAGCTTTAGTCACTTATGTAGCTGAAAGAAAGTGCAGCCAAATGCAAGCGTGGTTTTAAGTGAACGAATACCGTCATTTTTTGCGTTTTTTTCCTGGCCTGATGAGAATATTCTTGCAATGATTTATTGACAGCAAGCATGTTAATATGGATGGTCAAAAAAACAAGATCGAGTTTAAATTGTGTGAGAAATCAGTCTCCTGATTATTGAATACCAACTGATCTTATTTGTAAAGTCCAATTAAGCCAGAGAGCTGAATGCAAATATATTAAAAACTGTTGAATAAGCTATCCAGCAAACACATTTCCCTTGTGTTTACTTCTCCTAAGCATCATCCACAAATGGATGTGAAATTGAGTAAGAAATAACACTGCTGGGTTTTGAGAGTAAAACAGTTTAAAAGGGGCAAATAGGGATCTATTCTAATGGCACTAAACAGATTTTCTGTAAAATTGCATTTGATTGTCAACAGGTTATGGCTGGATACCTGAAGAATGATGAGGCCACAAAAGAAACGATCGATGTAGAGGGATGGCTGCACACGGGTGATGTTGCTTACTACGATGAAGATCACTACTTTTTCATCGTTGACAGGACAAAGGAACTCATCAAAGTCAAAGGAAATCAGGTAAGATTCAACAACTTTAAATGTTTTACTAAAAGCCTGGGGAAGCTTGCATGTGTGTTTTTTTATAGTCTGCTACGAGGTGTTGTCTCAAGTCGCATTGCGTATGTGAAGGTGCTCATCCTTACAGTAATGGTCTTTCTGCTTGAGAGAGAACATGATCCCAGTCAACACATTCTTTCTGTTTTACTTTTATTTTACATGTGGTCTGAAGAATTAAAATGCAGTCTAATTGGGAGCATATTTTCAATTGGTTAGCAGTATTGGGGCTCCTCCTTGAATAATTTTGGCCTGGCTGGCTCTATTTGCTGAGCATTCTTCTCTCACCAGTGACACTCTTATATGACAGCACAAGGAAAAGTGTGGGCCAATTTTCTGCACCTCCAGTGAAACTCAAGGGCACTTTCCTCTTAGAGTTCCTTTTTAACAGTAAAAATAGGCGTTGCAGAAACTTTTCATAGGATAGTGATGAAAAGCAGAAAAGGAGAGTGAAATACTTTTACATATCCACTCTCGAATTCATGGGTAGGGGTGACATTGGTAATCTAAAATTGGTGTTTTTCAAAGGAAAAGAAAGCTCAACAATCTTTGAAAAGGAAAGCTTCATTCAGTGGTGCAAAAAATGCTAAATATAATGGCCTGTCTATTTTTTGGTCATTCCTGCGAGAGGAATTGGGCAAATTTGACTGTTGGAACAGTTTTAAATGCTGGTATGAGAGAGATGATTGGTCAGGAATGTAGAAACTTCTGGCAACGGGTCCAGTTATGCAAACCGGTAGGAACCTCCGGGAGAACAGAAAAAAATGGAGGAGCCCTCTCTGATCTTTTTACAATTTTCATTGTTGCGGAAGTAAAAAGGTCCAATTTTTTGGAGCTAAAGTTTTTTTTAAGTGTCTTCAAGGAGAACTAATTACGAATTGAAGAGCTTGGAGGACAAGGCGTATAAGTGCAGTTTTTGAAAAAATTGATTATAGATGATTTCAATTAAAATTAGTTTTAAAATATATATATTCTGTGAACAATTAACTCCCAAATTCCAATTCTTAAGCATCAAAAAGTGAGTTTAAACTTTCTTTTAACCATAAGGCTCAATTTGATCTTGCAACTTTAAACACAAATTTCTCAGAATAGCAAAAATTGCACTCTTACGCTGTGTCCTTCGAGCCCCTGAATTGTGATCAAAAATGGGGGACAGCCTGGAACATGCTGCAAATCTGCATTGGTGTTTTGGAACTTTTAAAAGTAACATCTGCTGTATTCATTCAAATGTTTCCATTCTGTGCCGATGCACTTTGCTTTTCTTTGAAGGACTATTGCACTTGTACCTATCAATATCTCAGAGTTTGTTACACTCATTTTGAGAAAAATGGGAATTACCAAAGAATTGAACAATATCTGTGCAATGGTCCTAATTTTTCAAATTGCTATGAATGCAAAACGTTTTCCTAATATTGATTGTGCCACATTTCACAGAAAATTTTTACAAAATTATTTTCCCAGAACAGAGGTGCAGTGCTAATTTTTATCATGGCTGTTGAATGAGACAATGAAAATTTCACAACACCTAACTTAGGTGATAGAAAATGGGTGGGGGCTGAGGACATATATCATATTAGGACATTGAAAGCAAAACTTGATGCGCTGAACTCAACTTCAAGCAAAGCCATGTTACTTCAACTCGATTTTCGACTTTTGATTAGCTTTTCCCCCCTTAGAAATAATTTATTAAACTTTTGAATGAACTCTTTGGTTTGTCCACAAAATTTTACATTGGAAAACTAAACTGCGATCTTGCATTTATTCCTAGCCATTGCCCCATCATTGCACTTGAGTGCAACTTGAAGAAATTGAAAAAAGGTTGTTGTCTCTCCAAATCAAGGATGATAAAGAAGGCTGAATTGTCAAATATTCAGATCATTTATTTGATCCGTATCAATACAATCAATGCAGTTTCATGTGATAAAATAAGAATGACAAAGGTATTAAAATAATTTTCGTCTAAAAAAAGAGGAAAAAACTAGGAGTTAGCTAGTGCCTTTAAGACATAGGTCTATTTACAGAACTACAGGACTCTTAAAAAATTCTCAATATTTACATTTTTTTGTCTAATTAATATTTCCTAAAATTGACTTATAGTGTCCAAATCAGACTTCATGAAAGAATAGTTCTGTCGGGCACTGCCTCTAAAAAATGATCGCAAGTTATAGTGAACTAGGTAAATGAGAGTTGCAGAAACGACATCATAACAAAGGTGTGAATAGTAACGATTTGAACCGCCATCAAAAATTGACTGTCATTATTCCCCCAAGATTCTTGAATAATATAACATAAAAGCAAATGAGTATCTTACGTGAAAAGTTGAGAATAACAAAGAAAAGAAAGTTTTTTTTGGGGGGTCGGATTAGTTTTTTATAGGCTGAGTAATTCTTGTTGGTAAAAATGTATTCCTTCCTTCCTGCCTAATTTTGTGATCACTATATAAGAGTGGAATCTACATCCATTATTTTTAGAAATGTACTTGGGACTTACAATTTCAATCCTATAACCTATTATTCGAAGAATTGGCCAAGAACCTTCTTCTGCGTGATACTCTATTAGGTAACATACATTAAGGAATTGTGAGATGAGAGTGCTTCTTTCATGCTTATACAGTAAAATAATTCTATTTTGTTTGGCTAGGTACTTTGTTTGGCTACTATTCATGCTCCCTCCCTGTCCCTTCAAAAAACATATGTGCTGAATTGATCTTATCAGCAACCAAATATTTCCGCAAACAATATCAAAGTCTTAACAGTAAAGAATTCTCTATTCAAACAACTGATTATCTGTCTGACAATGTGCAACAACTGAAATTTCATCTTATCAGTCTTTCAAGCCTGGTTTGACCCCTTTCTCAGGTCGGGTACGATAACGGAAACAAGAGCTCTTGAGTTAGCAATATTTGTTTATCAGCAATATTCCGATTTCAACATTTGGAGGTTTGAACCCATTTTGAAATTCACAGAAGTGCTTTTGCAGCTTCAGCAGAGAGTGGAGTAAGAAATAATTTTGAGCTGAGGTGCTGGGAGTTACATAGAATCGGTATAAGCAAAGATATCAGTAGGTGTATTAATAACCTTTTCTATTTTTATTTTTTAAAAAAAAAAGTAATTCTTAAGAATTAAGCTGATAAGCTACCTAATTTACTTTATCGTTAATGTTGATGGAGCTCTAGGAATTCCGGATCTATGGGTTCATTTTTTAAATTATAAGTTTTGATCCTGACAAATTACTTAGGTACATCGTCTATAAATATCTGAGGTTTGGATGTAATTGGTCCAACTTTCACTTAAACATGAGACTATTTCAAACTCGACTCAGCATTGAGTAGTGCTGTGATAAGACCTTAAAAGAATCTCAGTGCGTATAGTTTTTACATTTCACGTCTTCAGTCGTAAAATTAGTAGCAAAGAAACATTTTTTATACCCTGCTTCACAGTCCTACAAATTGGTCCTCAAATAAAAGCAAGCCCACAGAAAAACATCAATAATTCAGCATCTCTGGAATTGAAAAATACAAATGAACAGCCCTATAAAATCTTGGACCAGAATCAGTTGAACAGCATTTCTTGCTGCCTATTTTCTTTGATGTTTCATTTTTTTAAATGACAACTAAACGCCTTCAAAGTTTCTATATGTTTATCCAAGATTCGGAAGAATACACTCACAAAATTTCGAGTTTCAGTGTTGCTTCATTTTCTGTTCAAAAATTTAACATCGGAGAAAATTGGGCCATGCACAATGTAGTTAGGCAATACCATTAAGCCACCCAATTAATTCTTGGTTTCTAATTAGAGAATTCATTAAAAAAATGACACATTCTTGTAGCTCGGAACGAACTCATAACTCACTGGTAGTATGCAATGGATCAAACTTCACCTAGGTGCTACTTGAACCTCCCCTCTCCCCATTAAAGTTCTAATATTTACATCAGGAACAGATTAAATGAGACTATCTGATCAAGTTATTGAAGGAATAGATGAGCCTACTGGATTTTGACGTTAAATTATAGCCTAAGTATTTTAAGGACCCTTGCATAGTTGGTTATTTCTCAAAGGTGAAAATGGCAGTGAAATACAAGTGTGAAGAACTGGAGAAAGAAAAGAATGGACAAATGTCACATCAACCCAAATGCATTAGTCATCAGTTGGCCCATGGGTTACCACCTAAATTGATGTTGAATGGTGCTATTTTTCGATGTGACATTCTCTCATTCTTTTCTTTCTCCATGCAGTTCCCCAAATCAGGCGTTTCTCAATGGGCCTTGACATCTACTTAACTTGTGCCTGTATCTACATTCAGCTGTGAAATTAACAGCTTTCTTCGTCAAACTATGTAAAGTGCCTTGCAGCTAGGAAAATGTACATATAATAGAAAATGAAACATACAGAAATTCAGCTACCTTTACAGTTTATTCAAGCGTTGAGTAACTCCATTTTAATCGAGCTATCAATGAATCATGAGGCAGCTTCCAATCTGTTGAGAAATTTTAGAGGAAAATGTGTCATTAATATTTTGTATGATAGAATATACATAAGTGATGTTCATCACAATAGAAACTGAATTGGGTTTGTGGATTCTTAATTAAAATGGATGGATAGGTTTTCCATGAAATGTTCACAGTTCCAAAGATCAATTTTGTTAAAAAACATACTTATGGTATTGATTAACCTGACTGGCAGTGGTTTGCAAATGAGTGGAATAAATTCCCTGAATTCACGTCAGATTTAATGTAGGTTGCTAATATTAGGATGGAAACTGCGCTGTAGATACTTTAAAAGTCCAGACATGACTCATCAAGAGCACTCTTTTATCTTAATAATTATTTACAATAAATTTTGGCAGAGCGAACGCTTACTTAAGTTCAAATTGTAGAAGCCTTTTATTATTGAGGTGTTCTAGTATTTTCCATTTTGTTTATCTTCTTTGAGGAAAATGTTAAGTCATCTAATTTGAAGTCATAAGTTGCTTTTAAGTAGAAATTTTCATTTAGATACAAATTCTAGTTAATGATATTATTTGTGCTTCAAAGTATCTAGAGGTTTGGTACTGGTTTGGATTCGGGACGACTTACTCTTCAATGACTGATGCAGATGTGGATGTGGTTGCTTGCTCGGTAGGTGTATCTTGTGGCTCCGTGACGACAGGATTTAGACCTATTACTTCATCTGTTGAGCCAAGACTTTCATTGTCTGCTAAAAGTGTGACCAGGATGTCATCTGCTGGATTTGAGGAACTTGCACTTTCTTTAGGCTCACTGGTTGTGGCAGTAGGGGCTTCGTTTGAGGACTCGTCTTCTGGTAGTGTAATGGTTGGCTGATTTTCTTCATCTGCTGATTCGGCAGATGTTGTCGAAACATCATCTTTGTTCGGAACACTGTCTGATGAGGAAGTGCTGGTGGCAGGGATCTCAGGTAACACTGTGCTTGTCTCTGGCACTGCTTCACTGACCATTGCTTGCGCTTCACTGCCACTTTGAACATCAGGTGTCGCAACTTGAGCATCTGATGAACTTTCAATCAACATTTCAGACTCATTTTTAATGCTGTCACATTCCGTTACTTGAGGTATTGAGTTATCACCAATTAAATTAGAGGAACTCTCTTCAGTAACAAGTACGTTTAGGGATGATGTGACTTCTCCAGCGACAGATGATAATTGATTACTAGACATTGAATCTTCTGACAGAAGGCTCATTTCGTCCGCAACACCACTTTCATTATTAGCTGTGTTACTGTCAGGCATGGAAGGGTCAATTATGGTGCCATTACAATGTTCTGGGGTAGTCTCTGAGACCTCGGTTGCTTCTTTGATGATTGAGGCTTCAACCGTTACAGGTTCACTCTTGATTGGCTCAGGAACCATTTCGTTAGTATCAATTGGAGTCATCTCTATTGATGATTCAACAGCCATTGGTTCTGTAATTACTGGTTCAGGAACGGAAGGCACGGACTCTGTTGGGGTTGGAATAGCTTCAGTTGGTACAGGCTCACTCATTGACATTATGTGATGTTGGTCAGTCATGTTGGACAAAGGCTCAGTCATTGTCGACAAAGGCTCTGTCATTGCTGACAAAGTCTCTGACATCGCCGACATAGGCTCAGTCATTTCCGAAAGAGCCTCCGTCATAGCAGGGTCGGGCTCAACACACATTGGTTCTACTGATTGTTGAGAAATAGTTTCAGGAACAGGTTCTGGAGGGGCAGACTCAGCAATTGAATTACTTTCCGTAGAGACCAGATCTATATCAGTTGACATATCTTCTGAGTTCTGAGAGGTCATTTCGGCAGCTATGGAAGCAGCTGAGTTAATAGCATTTGTGATGTTATCTGCTTTAACCCACTGAATTTTATCATCAGGAATATTTTCGATCAACAAACTATCCATTTCAAGTTCGTCTGCTTTAATGTCAAGCAATTCATCTGATGGCGGAGGTGCAGAATTTTGTAGACCGAGTTCCGAGTTGAGCATATTTCTGCCCATATCGTCAGCAGTGCCATTGTTTTCAGGAATTCCATTGACAGCCTCTTGATTTTTGACGCTGTCCAACTGAGATCGAGAAAGTGAATCACGTGTGCTCACAACCAAAACGTTCTTCTCAACCGCACGCATGTACTTGTCAATACGGTTGTATTCACTTCGGGGTGATACTAGTAGCTCGCTGATTCTTTGTATAGTAAAAGGCGCACCCATAAAAGTCTCTAGTCGTTCTAGTAACATTGTTTTCATCCTCTCGTAGTTCCAGGGCTCTACGTTAGGACTAGGTGGGATTTCTGGAGCCATAGGTTGTGAATCAAAAAATTCACTTATCACATTGTTGAGTTTCTGTACATAAAGCGGTTTAACAAGGGACCACTGATAAACCGGGTCACCTGTCTTAGCAACAAAGCGTAAATATTCTTCAAGTTCAGCCGGGATTCCTTGAGGTTTCAATCTAGCGAACATTTCCAATGCTTGGAGAATTTCCTCCGGGTTTTCCATCATGACGACCGCGGTGAGAGCTTACTGGATGCTAATGACTAACAACTGCCGTTCAGGCCACAGGTTTTCACTATTTATTCATGATTTAACCGAATTCATGGATCACGAACACTTCACCTGAACTTCTTTTAAACGAACTTTATATCAAAACAACGCTTTTGCCCTTTAATCGTGGCTTTCGTTTCGCAACTTTCATCCGAATCGACCGATATCGGTGACGTAGCGGAACGGTGATTGACGGCTGTTGATGAAGTTCTCGATTGGTTCGAAGTCCTCCCCTCCTGACTGCGGCGGGAAATTTGAATTCGTGGGTTCAATCCAAGACTGTCGCGTGCTCCCGTGATGATTATCAAATATTTGTCTTTCTTTGCCTATCATTATTGCCTTTTTGCATTAATTATATTCCTTGTAAAAAGGTATTTTTCGTCAATTGTCATTTGAATTGGATACGCCAGACTTCAATTATCAATTTTTTTTTTTTGAATTTATTGTTTTTATGTTTTTCAGTTGTTTTTTTCAAATTTAATTTTTAACGTTTTTGATTTCTTTTTTTCATTTTCTTTTATTTTTTGGGTTTTTTCCATCTCTTTCATTTGATTTTACTGTTTATAATTTTTTTTTTGTTTTTTTTTTTTTGTTTTTTTTTCATAATAAATTTGTATTACTCACTGTTTAATACTTTTATTTCATTTTATTTTTCCACAAAGATCGGCCATAGTCAAGATGTTAAAAGTTCCTTTTATATTACTCCTCAGTGCTGAGTGCTTATTCAATATGTGCAGTTTTTATTTTTTTCATCTAACATTTTTCTTGGTCTCACCCACAGGTCTCACCTACGGAGCTTGAAAGTATTATCATGCAAATCCAAGGAGTCGCGGACGCAGCTGTTGTAGGAATCCCTGACATATTATCTGGTGAAATTCCACGGGCTTTTGTTGTTCGTCGGCCGGGTTCTACTGTCACCGAGGAAGACATAATCCAACACGTCGAGCCCAAAGTTGCAGCCTACAAGAAACTTGCTGGAGGCGTTAGATTTTTAGATATGATCCCACGCAACCCTGCAGGAAAAGTCCTTAGAAATGAGCTGAAAGTTTTCGGCAACAAGGAAAAAGCATAAGTTTTAAGATAAGGCCCTAAGAATATAAATAGCAATCAATAAATTTCATCAACTTATAGCTTTTATTTTTATTATTTTCCAAACTTTTTATACAGAAACTATGTTGTTTAAGTGATATGAACAAGATCTATGCTCAAGTCAGTCCTAATGCCAGATAAACAAAAATGATCAAGGAATAATACTCTGCCAGTGTGTTCACTTAAATATGAATCGTTGGTTGCAGCAATTTCATCTACATTTGCGTCGAAGATTTTTCTTTCGGTCGGAAGCCTTCTCTTCGATCCCTATAGATTCCATCCAAATGTTTAATACGTAGCTTTTCAAAATTTGGGAAAGGTTTGAGCACAGGCCTGATTCAAATCAGTTTTTTACTGTAGCTGTTGTTAGAATTTTTTACTTTCCGTCTACCTAAATGTTATTGCAAGAATGTGATCTTTTGAGGTACATGCCAAATGAATCTCAAGTTTATTTAGGTCATTATTAAATTCATCCTAATAATTAGAAATCTCTTTCAGAAGATAAGGAAAGAAAATATAAGATATGATAAGAAATAGATATTGGTTTTTAGTATGTTAAGACAAGGCTGAAATCATTGGACGTTGCAACATTGTTAAAAAGAGTGCCATATTAATTTGATTAAAATCCCATTTTAGATTTAATAGATTACATTATTTACATCTAATGAAAGTTTTATTCTTACAAGTATTTAATCAGCGGATATGTTTGTTATTTTTTATTTTGTAAATGCCATGAACCGTAAGTAAGTACCTGAGGGTGTTTTTGTAAGGCAAGTGCCTATTATCAGCAAGCTGATTACCTACTGTGTTTTATTTTTTTGTGTAAGGCAAGTACCTATTTTCAGCAAGCTGATTACTCTGTTTTTTTTTTGCTGTTTCCCGCGCTTAAGAATTTTATATGAATTAATTTTAAAAACAAATTGAATGGGAATGAATACCAGGAGTATAATACATTTAGTTTTTGCCAAATTTTCTTTCCTATTTTAAAGCACCTGCAGTTTGAATTTAATCAATTTTAAATGTATGAACAAACTCTAGAATTTAAATTTTATGAATCTATTATGTAATATTTTTTTAGTAATGTTTTCAACAGAGTATGGAAGTTAACCACTCTCTTTAATTCTATTCTAAAGACATCTCAATGCGTTTCATCATTGTACAGCCACCTGGCAAAAATTGGTTATGAAAACTTTGTCACAACACTACAGCCAAAATTAACGTTGCAGCTATTTTATCACAAGAGAAACTGAAAGATTGCGGGTGTTCTTAAATTATTTCCATTCTATATTCTCTCTGTATATTTTGTTTTGCTTTTTAGCTTGATTTGTCCTTGTTCGGTTTTTTATGTGTAGGCTAAAAATTTAAAAAAAAAAAAAAATTAGGGCAAAACCGCTTTGTACATAAAGCATGATTTACCACTTTTAAAGTGTAGTTTGGTAAATCATTCGCTGATAGCTTTTAACTTATTCGATTAAAACGTGTTCAGTAAGTTTAGAATCCTGTTGTCTAATCGAGTTAAATTATATTTTTTTCATACTCTACTTTCTACTTTAAAGTCTTAAACCAAAATCCTGTTTATCGATTCTCTCATGATATATTTTAAGGTAAATCAATGTTCCTGTATGTTTGCTTTATTTTATAATTTGAAACTCTCCGTTAATTGCAAGCACCAATGATATTTAATAGTTCGGTAACTTTGCCATCTTGATTGAAGTGAACAGAAGCAAGCTTTTTATTACTTTTAAGTTTTCAAGCTACAGTTAATCGCTCTTCAAATATGTTATGATTTTGTCGCCTACTTGAAAATGTATGATATCATTTATCAATGGCCCATGGCTAGAGAGTGAACTCCTAATCACATTTTTTGTTATTGCACATCTTTTTGTAAATTCAGGATCTCCACGTTATCTATTATCTGAACTTTACATGTGGAATGGGCTTTGCAAAAAGTAAGAAATTGGTATCATTACCTGTAATTGACTCTTTCAGTTACCTGTGATAAAAATTTATGTAAAATCGTGTCTCAAAGACCTATTTGCCCCCTTTTGATCTACTTTTTAAGAAAATTTCCTTTTTTTCCCCCGCTCTTTTTTTACATGAATTTTGGATTTGAATAGCTGTGATTCCCTATCATGAGGGTTATTTCAAAACGTTTTTACTGACCATGACCGGCAACTTGTGGAGAAAAAGTGCAATGAGGAAATACTACTGTATACATGTAAAACTGCCAAACCATTCATTCATTACTCTTTACCCTTATCCCGTAATTTTACAATGTTCAATTTTGAATATCGATAATATCCCTTGTTGTTTGTCATTTTTAAACTTTTTACTGTTACCCCCTAGATTTACAGTTTTCAAAGAGTTAAGACTGAATATTGAATAAAATCTATTAATTGATTCTAAAGTTGTGTTTCATCATTGAATTTGTATCAATTGAGTTTTATTGATGGTTGATTCACTTTTTTAAGCAACCGTATTAAAGCTGGTTTCAATGCAAGCATCAAATCTTACCCGTGGCAGGAGGAAAATAGGTATGGACATTGAATCGACTTGTGCAACCTCTATCAACTTGTGCTACTCTTATGCACAGATCTGAATGGAGAGCCAGAGGCTATGTCAGTGCGTTAGCGGGAAAAGATCCGACTGCTATTGCTGTGTTACAGCCCGCAGGCTTTTCTTCCGATGATGGTCTGATGCAGCTTTTACGTCCATATCTGTTTTCCTCTATAATGAATCTCATCAACCAAAATCAGCGAGGTCCTCTGCTACATATTATAATTCATAATTTGATCATGAGACTCAAGTCCTCGTTTAAAGGTTACATATTAAAATACAAATTTTTGCAAGAAAGGCAGATTTATTACCTAGTGAATAGACAAAAATTGGTAAAACAGCTCAATGATTTATACATTTTTTGGTCAAAATTGGTATAGTCGGAGTAAGTAGGTAATATGTTTAGAGATGAGTGTCAACACCTCAGCATATTTTTCCCTTACATTTTTCGATTTCCATTTTTAACTCTAGTTTCAGTCAATCCAGTCCTTATTTTCAACTTTTTCACTTTATCCCTATACAATCTTCAATAATGTCCCATAAAATTAATTACTAGACTTGCAACTGATACCTACATAGATTATAGCCAACCAATCACGCGTAGCCTTGTTGTCTCACCACCCGTGACGTCAGCAAGACTATATAAGCGTGGGTTGCCTAAAAAGTGAAGTCTTTTACCATCTTGACGACCCACGACCCGTGTAGTCTCTCTCTAGGGTCTTTTACCATCCCTATGACCCACGAACGTGTAAACTCTCTCTCTGGTCTTTTAACATCCTTATGACCCACGACCCGTGTATATCTCTCTCATCGGTTTTATTCTATCAAAAGTGCAACTCTTTATTTCAACTTTAACGCTGTAAAACTTCGTGACATTCAATTTGTGAAATCTGTGATATGTGCCTTCATGACGCCAATACAACTTATTTCGTCTGAACTCTTGTTTTATCTTTTATCGAACATTCTTTAGTCAGTTTGTCAATCCTGACTCAAAAAGATTGACTGGTGCCGAAATTCTTTGAACATTTTCTCAAAAACCCGTATTAGTGAACGGATGCTTGATCACCATTTTTAAGCGCATCCTTCATTCTAACATGGTGCCTCAACCTTCATTCTAACAATGAGGAATTAAATCCTAATTAATTCGTCTTTTATTCTTTACAAGAAAAAAACTGAGAAAAATACACCAAATTGTAGGCATGAGTTTGTGTCAGAACATTTTAAGGAATCTACACGTACGTTCATGGCTTTTGAGTCATGAAATTCTAAGGAAAAAATTGTCAAAAGCTATCATTTGTACCTTTTTTAATATAAAAAGACAAACTAAGATGGCAAAATATTTCTCAATTCTTCATTGAATCAATTGTGACCAGTTCAAATGTTGCAAATACACAAATACATCCAATTCTTAGAAATTCAGGAACTATGCGTCAAGAGCTTACTTCAAAATCATTCAAATATTCTGGCCTATTAAAAATACTTGTATAGATGTATGCCATCGCACTTCTACTCTCTGGAAGGTTTGAGTGTAATCTGAAATCACAAAAAAGAATTTATTTAATCTTACAATCAGGATGAACAAATTGATACGCTTAGGAGAAAAAATTGCTTATAATTGGCCAAAGCTAGAAGATTGGAGAAAATTGAAAGTAATACAAAATACACTCTGCAAGATAACGAGTTGGAGGATTAGTGAATCAATGGCTGTGCAGAGCATGAATACTTAAGAGTTTGCTCGGTAGTTAGATCGCAACATCAGGGATCCATTAGATGAATATTTTCATTTTGTGCGTTTCATGCCACAGTAATTTTTCAGCATGAATAACATCTACTAACAGCAGATGGCTGTGTAATTTCGTTTTTTACTTGATGAAACCCTGCCTGAAACTGCAGAGGAGATTATAAATGCAAGTTGAGAAAAGGCCATCAAAAGACCTTGAATTTATGAGCGGCTACAGGGAGATATAAATGCAGTCACATTTTCATTAACAGCTGCAAAAATTTGACATGTCCCACCAAATCTGGATCTGAACTAAATATTGAAGGAGTACATCCATTAACATATATTCTCCGGTAATCAGTTTATCCACAAAAAAGTGAATCATTACAAAGCTGATCCAATAGTTCCCGCTAGCACAGAATAGGAACAGAATTTTGTTGGGGCTACAAAAGAGGCGAGACGAACTTTGCCACGAAGATGCATTTTATGTGAAGATCCTCGGTTAAGGTATGTTGACGATTACTCATTAATAAAAACTAATGAGAAAAATTAGCACACACCAAGGAATACATAGCTCCAATATTTTGTTCAGATCTAGTTGTGGTGGAACGTACCAAAATTTTGAGGACGTCAATGAAAATTGCACTATCGCAAGGCTCAAACACAGTAGGACCTCAAATTTATGAGAGGTTATAGCCTCTCATAAATTTGAGATCTTTTTCTCTTTTCTTTGCGAGATTTGGTGATCATTTCTAAAGAAAACAACGCCAGCCCCCGATTAGGCAAAAATTATACCCCTGATTATGAAAAATTAGCATCTTACAACAAGTGCTGTGACATACCGATTTCCAGTATCTAAGCTTGGAGGTATTGTAGGAGTTGTAGAAACATCATCTGAAACAAGCAGACAGAATTTAGTTAACAAAGGAAATGAACAAAAATGTGGAGAAACAAAATGATGGATTCGAACATGAAAGAAAATTTTGATCTAGAAGGATGATCCAAAGAATTTACCTATTAAAGTTAGAATTTTTGGCCAACAAGAATGACTTTTTAAGATACTATAATTTCTGTGATAGATGATCCAGGTACACTGATCTACTACGGAAGTCGCTGTATGAGCCGTCATACGTTGCTAAATTTCCGTTGAAAAACAAGCATTTTTTGGAAATCTTGTGAAAATTAGTCTTCCAAATTTTCAGAGGATTTTGCCTTACTGCTAGTCCACCTCCATTACAAATTGGCTCCAGACTTACAAATCAGCACTGTTGCTGCGATGATTCATTTGTATTGTAATTGTTATTTTTGTGTGAGTAAACTTCAAGATGCCATATGTGCCATTGTGGTGCCATGAGTGTCATACCTCCCAAAAATCCCATTAACGGCTAAGCAACAATCCATATAAAAAGCTATGTTGACGGAAATTTTATGAAAAAAAAAAAATGTCTCGTCAAATTTTAATTAGTCTTGTGTCCTGAAGTTAAAATTGTGCTTCGATGTCTTTTATAGGTCCTTTAAAAAGACGATCATTGCATTATTTTTGAGATGACTTAAATTTGTATTTTTTGCGCTACCAATTTCAAGACAATGACCCTAAATCCAAATGTCAGGACGTTTTGCATTCTTCTTTCTTTTGGGCTCAAACAATACATTGATGAAGGCTTTAGATTTTCGTCTTTTTTAATCATTTTACAGTCAATATGTTTCATAATTAGTGATGCTTGCATCTCACTTGATGTTCAGAGCTTTCTTTCTGATACAAGTTTAAAATTTTACTCATGATGAAAGTGCAGGAAATTTAGAGAAACTGAGCAAGCTCAAATTCATTACCTCTTGAACTGACTGCTTTGAATCGCTCTTCCTTCTGACTTTCAGGAAATCTTCTGACTATCCCATCGATAATATTATCAATCGTTGGACATCTGCAGTGTGACGTGATTAAGCAACGGCAGAGGGGACAATTTTTCTGCTCTTTTTTCCATTCCATCAGACAGAACAGACAAATGATATGTCCACAGTTGATTATCCTTGGCTGAAAAAAGAAGAGAAATGTGAGTTATTTCTATTTCATCAAAAATTAAGAAGGAATTATCATGGTATTGATTGCTGCTTGACATGACATGGAGTGCTGGGCTTCTCTCCTACAATCATACTGAACCAAACCTCCTTATTGTGGTTCTGAAATTTTTAGTGAAATATGTGTATTCATTGTCTAGTGAAGTTTTGACGAGACAGGAAAATTGGAACTTGGAAAGGCTCTCATTATAAAACTGGAAAAAAAGTAAGGCATTGCAAATTAAGGAATCCGCAACACCCCCTCCCTCCCTAAAGTGCTAGACATCATTAATGAGAAGTTCCTGAATGTATCTACGGCTAAACTCGGATAACTCATACCTGAGTTTTAGAGTTTCTCAACTATTATTTTTTGTCTATTTATTTATTTTTTTTTCAATAATAATAAGCGATTTTCATGGGTAGGAATTCTTACAGAATATTTTTCGAGTAGAGAGGACACATCATAGACATATCGACAGTGTAAGATGGCAATCACATAACTCGGTTTGCGACGTCGCAGACTTCCTGTCATACTTTATTTTTTAAACGGAAATCTACTCAACAGCAATTCTTTAAAACTGCCGTGATTTTTCTTCTCTGTGCGAAGAAAATTCTGCATAAACTCTAAGGAATGATGCCAATTTGTTCTCCTGTAAAAAAATAACATAGAGGCAGAGATTTTCAGACACTGCAAACAAGATGTGTGATTCCGGACTTACGCCGTCGATATTCAAGAAATTGCTTTTATTAGTTTTCTAGTCAAAAATGAAGAATGGACTTTAAGTTCAGCCATCAATTTGATACTTCTAAAATTGAAACGTTATAACTTTCAAGACTGGCAAAACACAAGAAAACTGGTAACCAAGGCTGAAAGGCTTTAAAGCTAGTTTTTAAGAGAGGAAATTTTACCTGGATGAAAAGCTCATTACAAATGGAACACTGCAATTCCTTCACACTGTAGTTGAGGAAGTCGGTCATTTTTGTCTCCATTTGTCCTCAAAGCCTGCATGTAAATCTGAAAATAAAGGAAAAATCATAAAATTTCTTGAAAATTCTACAAAGTATTTCTCATTGTTCTAAAGGTCCTTGTTCTAAAATTACATCTTACTTTGAAGTATCTTCAACTGGAAAAAAACACCACTAGGGTTGATGATTTTGCTTTAATGAGTGAAAACTTTGATCATCTTTTCCCTTTTTCCCCCTTTTTTTCTTGAAAAAATTTCTTGTTCGATTTTTTTGTTCAAATGCTTCATATCTATGACAAGAGTGCAAAACCACATATCTCTATTGAGGTGTTTCAAAATGTTTGCTCCTATTTTTAAAGAGAAGAGGAATTAGGAAAATTTTCAAGAAATTATATCAAATAGTTTTCCAGGGAAAAAAAAGAATGATAGAGTCTGCAATGTCACAATTGGAGATACGTGGTTTTGAACTTTGGCCATTGATATTCTACTAATGAAGGATTAAATATCTTAGCAACCTAGTCAATTATAAATAAATAAATAAATAAATAAAAAGTAAAAATTTTTGTACCAATGTTGATTCAGAAAAGTATTTTTGAGAATTTTAACAGCATGAACTAAGTCAAAGACAGGTAATCAACCTGGCAATTACTTCGTACAAAACTAAAAAAAGCACAATCTTCTGATCGACTTGTTGGACGGAGAGGGGAGGATGTAAAAATAAATTCTTGCAGGATAAATAAATATCTAAGTAGTGGAGAGAAAAAATTACTGTCCCCCCCCCTCAAAAAAAAAAAAAAAAAAAAAAAAAAAAAAAAAAACAGTTTCAAATGAGTCACATTTGTGGTTATTTCATTTTATGCTTTTTTTTTAAATTTGTCATTACAAAATGAATCTCTACTGAAGATTTTTCAATATCACTAATGAAAAAAGCATTCACAAAGGAAAAAAAAAAAAAAAGACTACAATTTTTTTCATCAAGCAGAGTTGTAGAAGCACATGGCCTTTTCATATTTAAGTCGAGATAAAAGAATTTCAATTAAGAATACCACAAGAATAAACTGAATAAATGTATAAAAAAAATACTCACCTCTAAAATGATGGAAGTACAGCCCTAGATTAAAAAGAAAATTAACAACAACTAGGATAAAACAAATTATAATGAAGCACTGAGATTAAAAAACAATACTTGGTTGCAGTTGCTCAGTTGCAAACTGCAAGGGGAAGAGAGCTCAAGAGAACAATTAACACTGAGCACAGGGGTGAAAGTCTATTATGTGATCTACCTGAAGAGAGGCCAAAAAACAAAAAACCTAGCCCCAGGGGATTTCTTGCAAATATCAGAAGAGAGAGGCTACTGGCTACCCATAACAAGGCAGGCAATATTACCTGAATGGAAAAAAAAATAAAAGATTTTCTCACCACTGGTCATGAATGGGATTTTACAGTTTGAATTTATCTCACAGGAAGGGGGCGGGGTAAGAGGTGAGACTTGTTGCCAAACAGTGCACATAAAACACCAGCATAAATCAATATGTCCAATGGGTTGGACTGGTCAGGTCTGTTTTGCTCTTTGTTTTTAGGAAAAATATTTTCTAGATTATTGGCACTTCAGAGTCTCATTGAATGTGTGTGGTTCTAATATCTCTTAAAAATATTGTTTCTTTGTAATGGGTTAATAAGGGTTTTTGGAAACAAAAGTACAGGACTAAGCATGAAATTAGTGTTCCAAAGACCGGTCAAAATGGAATTTTCCGTCAAATTAAATTAATATTGCTCTAAGCTGTCTGGAAAAAGTGTGTAAGAAAAGTATCAAATTTCGTCAAGACTTAATACTTACTTCATATTTAATATTCATAACTTGATTTTAATTTTTTTTTTTCACAATTATTGATTTATAACATGGTCCAGAGAATTTTTAAAATAAAGTTGGAAACACCTGGAACTTTACTTGAGGATAATTTTCACACAGTATTGATAAGCATGGTTAAGCATGGACAAGTGAAGAAATCACCATGAATATGTAGCTTTTGAAACAATAAGACTATGCAACAGGTAGGAAAATTGAAAACTTTTTGCTTTGAAAAGATAAAAAAAATTGATCACTGCCTACATAGTTTCGAGAGATAATAATTAAGTAAAAGTTCCTTGCATGGAAATTATACAAATTTCAAGCTATAACTGACAACTAAGCTAGATAGAGACAATTGAAAAACTTTTAGCCACTATCACACCATCCAAACAGTGAACGACATGATAACTGGGATGACTTGTCACATCTGATACTACACTCAGGACGCCAATTATCAGGTCTCAATTGAACTCTATTTACTCAAGAGCCCCTTCCAATATGCTCGACATAGATATGTTCAGGAGAGCAATGACCAAGACAACCGGGCCACGATTGGCTTTCCTTGAGTTTCGGACTCAAGGGACAGGGATCAAGGGTCAATTGAAGATAGGGGTGAAATCAAGCTCTCACCCCTCCCCCTTCAGAGCCTAGTCGATTCTCCCTCACCCTCATAGAGGCACACACATATTGATGGTTTGACTCTAAAAACCATGAGCTTTAATTGCAGCGTTTCTGAATCTCTCATAAATTCTATCACCTGTTTTAAAGAAAAGAAAGTACCATTAAGGTATGAAATTTTCCATATTTTCTTTCAACATTTTGTGATTGCACGAAAAAAGTTTTCAGCCATGATGTGGATTAGCTTTCCTTAAAAAAAGGTCACAAAATTTTTGAAACGCTGTAATTGAGATACATGGTTTTGTAGTGTAACCACTGATTACATATTACTAGAATATGTATTTCAAAATTTTGATGAGCCGCAAAAAAGGCTAATTTATACATTCTAGGTTTGGTTTTGAACCAGGCACTTAAAATTACGGTCTTAAGTTTGAGGTAATACTAAAGATATAGTACAAATTCAAAAAGCTTTATTGGTGATTGCACAAATACTAAAAATTAACATCTTGTGTAAACTGACTGAAAAAAAGAGGACGAAGGTAAATGTTCTCAGAAATCCTAAACTGAGACTGTTTTCAGAGCGGAGTCTTAAGAAACAGGGAAGTAATTTTTTAAAAAAATTGATGGAAAACACAGAAGTTTTGAAGCGTTATGAAATGCAATAGGATAAATAAAACATTGGTACCAATAAAATTTATAGTAAAGACTGAAAAAAATTCACGGATCCTTTTACTGAAGGGGGAAAAACTAGATTTCATTGTTTAAGAGTAGAAAAACGAAAAAAAGTGAGTGATATTGGGCAGACCGACTCAGCCCTAAAAACAGCCATCTGACAAGGTATTGAGACAATGTGCTTGGAGTACTCTCCTACATGTTTTACATGAAAAAAGTACATCAAATTTTATCATGGTTAAACAAGGGGAAAAAAAAAAAACAAAAAACAAAAAACAAACCAATAAAATATGTTAATTAAAGTTAAAAATGATTAACAAAAATTTAGATCCTGAATGGCACACTATATTTTGATTGGAATATTCTTAACAGAGAAAAGATTATGAAATGAGACAAAAAGGGAAAAATGGGGGAAAGAAGAAAACAGGGATTCATGCAAGACTAGAGAGAGCGAGACAGGTTATAGCTTTTGGATGGACGAATGAAGAGCATACAATTTTTTTTTAGATTAGTAAATAAATATTTTTAAATATCACTGGGAAAAGTGTTCAAGGATTGAACACACACAAAGAAAGCATGAAGAAATGAACAATAATCACAATTTGCTCGAACTAAGACATATTGACGAGCGGAATTTACACGATTGTCTTCATGGAGCTCATGGATTTAATTCTATAGGCTGCAGAGTAAAATTCATATGGTGATTTTGAGAATGATTGATACCCATATCTTATCAGAAAACATGGTTGAAAAACGAAACCTCTATTTTCTTAGTTTCATAGTTTTGAAAAGGCAAAAGTCCAAAATTTTATGAGTAAGCGCTCTTGCATCTGCTGTTAATAATTGAAAACCATGCCGGGAGAAGGGCTTATCTCCAAATATACCCTTCTTTACTTTTTTTTCTTTTCCTTTTTCAATCTATTACTGGCTTTCAAAACTTTAAAACCCGAATTGAAAAAATTACCTTTGGTTTAGCCAATGGGTGCACATGGATTGTTGGGACACCATTTCAAATTTTCAAATGCATTTTTCTCGAAACGCTGCACCTTCTACATACATCCTTAATTAACGCCTGGGCTCATGAAAGGACTCTATGCACGGACCCCCCAAAATCGCCCATTTCAAAAGTTAACGAAATTCATACCAGTGATAGAGGGGCACTTCCGGCCTCCAAATCCGGGGTTGGTTTAGTGCCCAGCCCCCCGAGTGCGACGTTGCCATTTTTTAAAGTTGAAACATGTTAAACCCCATAACTTTTGAGCAATTAAAGATATGAAGGTGCGGTTTGTTTGAGTTGATAGAACATAAAAAGAGCTATCATTTCGTATATAGTTTTTATCCATTGTTGCCAAATTTACCCAAAAATCGGCGATTTTTCGATTTTTTCAAGGTGCAAAAATACGGTTAGGTAACCTAAAAAATTCAATATTGAGACACCACGTAGGAAAATTAAAAACCCGCGTAATTAAAGCCCTTAATGTGAGCTTTCCAACGGTATATCGGTTTTTCCGGGGAAACGATTCTATCGCGAGATACAGGCCTTCAAAGTCCGACTTGGCGTACTTTTTGGAGGTCCCGCGTCATTCGCACCTCAAAAATAGAGTATTGCGAACGCTGGCAGAAAAACGAAACTCATATGTAATGAAAGCTCTTTTAGTGAGCTTTTCAACGGTATATCGGGTTTTCCGAGGAAACGATTCTATCGCGAGATACAGGTCTTTAAAGTCCGACTTGGCGTACTTTTTGAGGTCCGCCGTCATTCGCACCCCAAAAAATCAGTATTGCGCACGCACATAGGAAAATGAAAATTACACGTAATGAAAGCCCTTTGTATGGGCTTTCCAACGGTATATTGGTTTTTCCGGGGAAACGATTCTATCGCGAGATACAGGCCTTTAAAGTCCGACTTGCCGTACTTTTTGAGGTCCGCCGTCATTCGCACCCCCAAAATATCAGTATTGCGCACGCACATAGGAAAATGAAAATTACATGTAATGAAAGCCCTTTGTATGGGCTTTTCAACGGTATATTGGTCTTTCCGGGGAAACGATTCTATCTCGAGATACATGCCTTCAATATTCACAGTAGCGGGGTTTTAAGGTATCCTGCGCGGCTTGTTTCTTTGCCCATCGTGATGGTGCACGTCCCAGGTCATATTAAATAATACATAAAACAGGGCACTAAATAGACAATTTTTCGATCTCGTTAATCGATTCCCTGCCTCAGAAAATTCGATGGTGTCAAACACTCAACGTGAATGAAAACTAGGGATGTCGATACTCAGGGAAGTATCGATACTCGGTATCGATACTGGTATCGACTCTAAGCATCGATACCGGTATCGAGCATCGAGCCGAAGTATCGATACTTATGAGGTATCGATACCATCGATACTATTTCTGAATTATGCCGTGATTCTGAGTGTGCGTATGTCTGTCGGCCGTTAAATTCCGCCAGATTTACGCCTCTCTCGAAACAGCCCTGTTCGCGTCCTTAGTCAACTATTTTGAGCCCTTAACTACACTTATCGAACTGAGCTTTTAACATTTTTATTGAAGTATAATCATTTGAGAAACTTGATTACTCCGTCGTTTGTCACAGTGCATCATGAAGGTGAAATAGTGGGGAGAGAATTTTTTAAAAAAGAAAAAGAGGCCTTCTTCATGGCCAAATCAGATTAAGTATCGATGCCGTCGATACTGGGGTCTTGGCATCGATACTGCATGGTATCGATATCGTGGAGTATCGATGCCGAGTATCGTTAAGTATCGATCGAAAGTATCGATACTTTGCAAGTATCGGATAAGTATCGACATCCCTAATGAAAACACTCAGGTATAAAGGGTGCAAGAAGAAAGTCGCAATCTCAGGGATTGTGTTATAGGGGAGACATGATATAAAAATGAATCCGTTGTTTCTGAGATTCCATTGAACTTGTAGGTTTAATATTCGTTTAACATTTGGTAATATACAGTTTGCAGTATGTGTCAGGTTCGTCTCTATATCTGCATCTCTCTCTGCATATCTGCATCTTTCTCTCCCTGCTCGCCGCTGCATGGACGGCAGCCCACTTAGATATAAGAACTCCCCTGTTTCATGTAATATTCAATAGGACCTGAACCGCTACAGTGAACATTGAAGGCATGTATCTCGCGATGGAATCGTTTCCCCGGAAAAACCAATATACCGTTGAGAAGCCCATACAAAGGGCTTTCATTACGTGTAATTTTCATTTTCCTATGTGCGTGCGCAATACTGATATTTTGGGGTGCGAATGACGGCGGACCTCAAAAAGTACAGCAAGTCGGACTTTAAAGGCCTGTATCTCGCGATAGAATCGTTTCCCCGGAAAGACCAATATACCGTTGAAAAGCCCATACAAAGGGCTTTCATTACGTGTAATTTTCATTTTCCTATGTGCGTGCGCAATACTGATTTTTTGGGGTGCGAATGACGGCCGGACCTCAAAAAGTACGCCAAGTCGGACTTTAAAGACCTGTATCTCGCGATAGAATCGTTTCCTCGGAAAACCCGATATACCGTTGAAAAGCTCACTAAAAGAGCTTTCATTACATATGAGTTTCGTTTTTCTGCCAGCGTTCGCAATACTCTATTTTTGAGGTGCGAATGACGCGGGACCTCCAAAAAGTACGCCAAGTCGGACTTTGAAGGCCTGTATCTCGCGATAGAATCGTTTCCCCGGAAAAACCGATATACCGTTGGAAAGCTCACATTAAGGGCTTTAATTACGCGGGTTTTTAATTTTCCTACGTGGTGTCTCAATATTGAATTTTTTAGGTTACCTAACCGTATTTTTGCACCTTGAAAAAATCGAAAAATCGCCGATTTTTGGGTAAATTTGGCAACAATGGATAAAAACTATATACGAAATGATAGCTCTTTTTATGTTCTATCAACTCAAACAAACCGCACCTTCATATCTTTAATTGCTCAAAAGTTATGGGGTTTAACATGTTTCAACTTTAAAAAATGGCAACATCGCACTCGGGGGGCTGGGCACTAAACCAACCCCGGATTTGGAGGCCGGAAGTGCCCCTCTATCACTGGTATGAATTTCGTTAACTTTTGAAATGGGCGATTTTGGGGGGTCCGTGCATAGAGTCCTTTTCAAACTTCCATCTTTTCGAAAAGGATTTTTGTCCTTTTAAAACACTAGATTCCAATGCAGATTCATACTTGAAGAACAAGAGTTACAAAAAGCTAATTCAATAATAAGAGATTGACCATCAAGTATTATAGAGAAAGAAGTTGATTGGATAATTCATTATTAATTCATAAAATCAGGAATACATAGGACGAACAAAATGTAAAAGAAAGGAAGAGGGAAAAAAGAAGAAACACGATAAAATTAAACTAGAAAAAATCCTGCAGGAGGAATATTTGGCACAAAATCACAGGACACCACACAATTTTTGACTAAATACCAAAGAATTTTGATTATCAAAGAAATGACTATTTAATGGACGTAATAACTGGTTTTGCATAGCTCTTTAATACCATTATTGTTTTTAAAGGGCTACACAGATTATACTTACTAATATGATATGCAAACAAAAAAACATTTTAGGGTATAATAGGAGTTTTTGTGATGGGTTTTATCTCCTTTAATTTCTAGGAGGTTTCCACACAGTTAATGTATGGACTATCGAGGGATCTAATAATTGAAATAAAATTGCGATAGCTGAATGCTTAGGAGGAACTTTTAAGTCTCCAAACTTTTCAATGGAAGCACAATAAAAGTTGAGGAGCTGAAAATATCTAAAGTGGAGTCTTAGTCCTTTATACATTTGCCCATACACTTATTTTTGTTGATTGATTTTGAAGGAGCATTGCATGAGCTCAAAATTAATTTTTGGGTTAACATCCTTTTAAGTTCAGAAGATTCATTGATCGCTTAAAACCTTTAATGAATATAAAATCATAAACATTTGATAAAGTTAAGCTGAAAAATGACACAAATTATACCAAAAAATGTTTTAACATAAATTTTGCACTCCCAGAAATTCAGAATTGGTAGCACAGACTTTTTAAGGAAACTAAATACTTTTGTAGCATGGTAAATTTGATCTGATAATCTCTTTAAGAATGAAATCAAAAGAAAATAAAATTTGTTCACCAGCATGCTGCAAAATTGTTTTATTAACAGCGCTTCAGGTCTTTCAGCACTTAGTGCAATCATTAGAGGCATATCAAAACTTGACAACAGAAACATTAAAAAAGATCAACAAACAAAGCTCTGTGGTTAAGTTTTGTTATGCTTTTGATGATGGTACTGAGTGCCAAAAGACCTTAGGTGTTGCAAATAAACAATTTTTGTGGCAGGATGGTAAGGAGTTTTTATTTATTTTATTTATTTTTAAATATTGCTACTCTTCCAACAATGTTCAGCTATTTTTGAGAATAGGAATACAATAAAATGTAACTTTAGAGACAAGCTAAGCAAGTGCCGAGTGCCGATTACACATTTCTATCTAAACATATTAATAAATGAAAGTTATATAATCAATAAGTGAAAAAGTCTCTGATAAACAACTGTTAGGAGTGCATAATTTAATTTAAAAACAACTTCAACTAAAACAGAATAAAAATCAATTAAAAAGAAAATGAATAAACCAATTAAATTAATAACAACAGACTTAAAAAAAAAAAAAAAACTTCAGACTTGGATGGGTAACTTTTGAGTTTTGAGGATTCTTTGTGTGTAGTTGTGAAGCAATATTTGAACAAAATAATTCATAAAAGCAGTTTCACATACTTGCATTTAGAAAATGCTTCATCAGAGCAAATAACTTACAATTTTTTAGAAGGCGGAAAATTAGTTTTGATTCAGGAATAAAATGAGGGGATGGATAAAAAAAACTCACACTGTCAGTAGGTAACGCAACACCCTAATTTTTTGATTGACCAAAGACCAACCAGCCTACTGGCATCTTCAGTTTTTTTTCTATGTCCACTCCAAAACCACACACACTTCTTTATAACACAAAATTTTTAAATTAAAGACAGCAAGAAGTTACTACCCTGACTCAAACGCGAAAAGGTTAAAAGAATTAAAAATGAAGGGAGTTAGCAATGAAGGATCGTCGATTAAACATTATGACTTTTCAGAATAGGCGTCAGCTATTCAACCGAGAAAAAATAGTACTCTTAAGCGCAAAGAAAAGCACTGGAACCTTCATTTTCATACCGTAAATTTATCACTGCTATGATGAGTTGCTGTTCATGTGGCTGAGAATAAAACACTTCAAAGTTAAAACAATGAAAAGCAGAGATCTGAGATGTTGAAACGCTTATAATACTGACGAGGTATAATGTTCTTCTCCTCTGTTTTATCATAATCCGTGATGAAGCATAGAGGACAACAAATTTCATGATGGATCAGTCTTATGAATCACTAATCTGCTTGGGAAGTTCTCAATCTTGATAATTCTTCAGCGTAAAAGCCATTGAAGTTCTCTCTAGACAAAAAAAAAATAAAATAGATGTAGGTAACATTCCTGAAATTCTTGATCAAACAATTTGCGAAATTAAACTTTGGTCATGCAACTTATGGAATAGTGACAATGTTTGTTGGTGGCTGATGAAGGAAAATGAATTAATTTTAAAAATTAATAGCACAGTTTGCCTTGCTACTTATGCCAGGTTGAGAGGTGCAAAAAACTTGCAATGATGTACATTAAACTTAATGACAGTATTTTGATTCCGAGAAAAATCAGATCTTACGGTGTGATTTGCAGAGAAATCAGTAAAAAGGAGGAGAAAGGAGGGTCCTACCAAGTTAGATACCTGAAGAAGCTATTAACACCGACTCTCATTCTAAAATTATCAAGATCTGAACGTCCTTCAGGTGTAAGCCAATATTTAACGAGAAGATTCCGACTGATTTAAAATGAATAAGATCATACGCTACTTTGAAATCAAATTTGGACACTTTTTTTTCAAAAATTTAATCATACTTTTACACTTGATGAATTGGGAAACTTACAGGTTCTAATGGAGGGTTGTCTCTGGGATAGTCCAAAATTCTAAAAGTATTAAAAAGTGTAAACTCATGGCCTCATGATACCTGGTAGGTGGTCCTAAATAGATAAAGTAGAATTTAAACATGTGTACAAGATAAGAGAAATGATCAGGTCCATACCTCAAGAAAACATTGGAGATTTTCCAAAACTGTTTTTCTTTCCCAAATCCATCGATCAGATCAAGAAAGTCCAATAAAAGCTGGTTAAACGCAGAATCCAGTTTCTTGACGGTTTCCTCAAAACTAGTGACATTAATGTTGAAGTTAGCATCCATCGATGATGATGGCTGTTTCTGGAAATGTTGAATAAAGTTGTCATAAAAATTAAAGAGGGAGAATAGGGAAATATGACTTACGCATTGGCAATGGTGATTACGAAATGAATTCAAATATTTAAAAAAACACTTTATTTAAAAACCAATCTTAAAATTAATACCTTGCTACCTTAATTCTCATTCTCGATTGCTTTTCTACGGGAATATGATGGTGTTAACCGAAAACAGCAGGAGGGGATATTCAGAATTTGAATGGTAGGATATTCCATACATTTTCCGGAAAAATTCGAGACAGGAACTATCTTGTATAACCATTGCTGAACACTAATCCTGCGCCATCTTACAAAAAATGTTCTGACTTTGAGTGGGTAGAATTTCCAGTAAATTAAGAAAACTATTGTGATGAGAAAGATTAAACAAATATGTTTTAAAAATCATCTGACTAAATCTATACTTTAATACCGAACTAAACCTTCACAGAATATTAAATGTTTTAAAAAAAAAAACTATCTACATCAAAAGTTGCAAACTTTTTAAGATCCAAAAAAGGAAGAAGGCAAAATATTAAAATAATTAGTAAAGAATAGGAACAATGAGCTGACAAAATTATAACAAAAAATAAGCGTAAGAGGCAAGAACAGTAAATTTCTAAGTAGACTATGGAAGAATGAAGATTTTTGAGATATAAATTGAAAAGTCAAGTTTTATTAGCTTTGAATTATGGCCTTTTATACTTTCATTTCAAAGTAAACAACTAGACACAGAAGAATAGGACATTTACAAGAATGACGAGATCTCTTAGAGGATAGTAGGACTTGGGCACGCTTGCAACGGCCCGTACACAGGCAAATTATTTGTTAAAAGTAAAGAACTGCTGAGGAGAGATATTTCAAACTGATTAGCTCAGAAAATACAGACACATCTTGTTTATACCAGCCTAAACTCTTTACTTTCTGTTGTGAGATAAATTGGAATGATAAGCAGGGATAAACAGGCGGGTGGGAACACCTGGAAAAATCTAGATGGGCTGGTCGATATTTAGGGTGTTGTTGACAGATTTGTCTGTTACACAACACAAAAAAAAGAAGAAAAAAAGGGCCTACCCAAGTAGGTAATAATGGGCCGGTATGATTAGTCACTTTTAATTTACTCCGATGATATAATTGGAAAATACACTTTGATAGGGGTGAATTTAGTAAGCAAATGCTAAAATAAGCCTAATTATAACGTGTTAGAAGTTCCTAGAAACTCAAAAATTTTACAAAACATAATTACTACACGGGCAATCTACTTCTAATTGTTTTTTAAATTAAAAAAGCGTGATACGACAAATTTAAATAAGAAGATAGTGTGAGAGTGAACATTAAATGTGCACGGATAAAAAACAAGAACCACACCTCAAATCGGTGGACAAAGGGTTTGATATCATAGTCAGAACTAAGAAGAGGGTTCAGTTCAGCCTCCATTGAATAACTCCACGTACTCTGTGAAGTAAAGCAGCAGTGAAACACATTTTTACAAAATTCATGAGAAAATATTATCACACATTCGACGTAAAGCACTATAGAACTAGGGTAAGAGCCTGATTTTTCTGGAGATTGTCATACTACTTTCAGAGTTGTAGCTCATTTTAAACATTATCTGAGAAAATTCAAGAAAGTACTTGGTAAATTAAATTTTAATGAAAAATAATTTTTCTTTAAGTTTTTGGACATTAGCTCACTGACTTTCAAATTAATGTTAAGAAATGACAAGAGATAGATCATTGCTTGAATGCACAACCAGAGATACAAAGTTTGGTTTGAAGAAATAAATGAGTCCTTGAAAATGCATCTTAGTTGCACTCATGATGAAAGTATTGATTCGATTCATCAGAATTTGTGCAACTGTAGGACCTAAGAATTTCAATTTTCTTCTTCTTTTTTTTTTTTTCTCACTGGATCCCTTCGAGATTCTCTTAAGATAAGAAGTCAAAGGTTGTTGCAACGAACCGATGATTGGAAAGTTGCACAATTTTTTATTCTTCATTCTCCGTTTTCATAGAAACGTTAATTTATTAATGGAAAAGGTGTTTTTTGGGGGGCTAGGACAGTTATAAGACATGTACGGGGCATTCCGTTTGCTTGTTAAGTAATTATTTGGAGGACTTGATTTCTAAAAATATTCCAACCTAATAATAGAACTTTTAGATTTTAAAATTTCTCAGGCATCACCAAGGACCTTCTTACTAAGTTGTAAGTAGCCAAACAATTAAAGGACAGAATACCATCAATCCCTTCGGAAAAAAAGATGCCATGAAGTTTACAGAAAATACCGAATGTTGAAAATCCAAAAGCTAGAGTGAAGAAAATGAAAACCAAAAGAAGTTCAACTTCGCAGAGGTACAGGTGATGATGATGTAATTCTTACCAAGATAAAATCACAGAACTCCGTGCATTTGGACATGATCAGCTTTATACTTTCCAGCAAAGGTTGGTTCATTAACATGCACTCATTGGCTGACTTTTCTAGGTACTGCAGATGCAGCTGCAGGACGCAGTCGATATCCTTTGCCTGCAACAGAGAAAAAATAGAGATGTGTTGGTTAATAGTATCAACAAAATATGAGAAATCAGTTGCAAACAACCAACCGCAAAATTTCAACTCAACTAACAACTGTGAGAGCCAAGAGGGTCGTCTCCAGGGTCAGAAACAATTGGTCAATGAATCTGATGTAGACGCAGTCCCGGCCAATGTTTGTTTTTTTCTTTCTTTTTTTAATTAAACGTTTGTTTACAGTTTCGACAGGAGATTAGGGCCCCGTTGAAAAATCAGGGAGAGAAATAATACAACTTCAGAATGATATAACAGAGTTGACAAAAAAGAACAGCAATAATATCTATAAGATTTAACAATCTACTTTAAACAGAGCCACATTTTACAATGAAAAAGAAGCAGGAGTGTCAAGCCAAGATTCACAATAAAATTTGAGATCGACTACAAAAATGAGATAGCTCACTGAAAACATGATAAGATTTACGAAGAAAAGAAACTGAACTTTTTGTTTTGAAAACGCCCTACAACTTGCTTTTTAGATTTTCTGAGAACTAAAATGCCTGGAATTGAGCATATCTGATTGACTTTCACAAAATTTCGGAAAAAAATTTCCAAGTTTCACTTTTATGACTCGAGAAACCCTTACCACATCACACTTCCTACACGATACGAGCGCATCACGCATTACGCATCACGTTCTGATCGGGCGATCTTCGAAGCGCCTACTCGATCCGGGCGATAACTATTCGAACACGGTCGTCGTGGGGTTGCATACCTATTACTTCGAAGGCGACTTTTCGCGTGCGCGTCGGAAGTGAAAACATAGCGAGTCTACCTTGGTTTTTTTTCCCGCAACGCTTCAACAGTTCGTGGGTCATCGAGAGATTCACTTTCTGAGAGATTAAGAGGTTCGACCTCCTGCAGAAGATTCACAAATTTCGCCTAAAACTCGATAGAATGTGATACTCATTTCAAAAAAATTGAAAATAAAAAATCGAGTCGCGGTGATATTAGTATATTTCCTCAATCACTTGAGGTGAGCCGTCAAGGTTTCTAACGTTGTCGAACTGAAATGCGATATATCGCATGGATTATGTTAAAACTTTTAGCAGATTTTGAATTTTTAACAAACAAAAAAAGAAGAAAAAAAAAAGACGATGGCCTTAAAAAAACCTTGCGTTTAGTACAAAAATCGATAGCTGTATTGAATGCGAGTTTTTTTTTCTTTAACGAAAAAAAAAAAAAAAAAAAAAAAAAAACAGAATTCTGCTTAATTTCTCGGCATTTTTCTAATTTTTTGGTTTAGAATGATTTCTCAGGCTCATGCGCAGGTGCTATCGTCTCTTCTAAAAAATTCTGATTTTCCGCTTTTTTGCAACCGTCACGTGTTCACATCAACCAATTCATAAACAATTATATATGCTTGCTGTTTGAATATCGCTCTGGTAGGTGCATAAAACCATCCTCCAAATTGCCCCACACGAACGAGAATGAAACTGAGGAGTCTCTGTGAAAGACAACACGGGTACCAGCCCCCCCCCCCCCCCCCCNCGAGTGCAAAGCGGGGAGAGGGGGGAGCGCCCACATTCGGCGAATGACTGGGCGGCCGTAACTACCGTCAGTCAACTACGCGACTCGCGATGAGATCATACTGCGGCCTTCACTCGCGCTTGTTACATTCAAACAGGTGTTGCCTGTTGAAATTCCGATGTTATTACGCCAAAAATACAGAGTTTCCTTCCGAAATTTCGATTCTTCATAAAATTTGGAGTCATGAGTAGTTGCAGTGAACACTATTCAGCAAGAATTCCGTTAATTTACTGTGAAATAAAAGCATAGGAGTGTTTATCAACAGAACCTTGAAATTAAGTGCTCCGCATTATTCGACCCAATTTGTCACAAATAATCACAATGTTTCAGTTGGTTTACGGCCGGTTATTTAGTGACCCTTGCTGAAGAGCTGGAAAGGATAAATCGCCTTGAATAGTCAGCTGGAGCCTCGTTCCCCAAGAAATGCCATAAAAAAAGACTACAATAAAGCATTTTCCTCTACTGGATTTTTAAATTTTTGAACTCTGATACACCATTAGGTACGTTTACTTTTGGAATTGTAGATTTTCTACAAACTGCGTTTTGAATGATTCGGTGCCCGGCGGTAAACCTAACAAAGGCTCGGTCAGTGCGACTAGTTGGACTGAGTGCAAGTTCATTAAAAGGTTCTGTTAACCTTAAGTCGGTTCATCAACTCGGGTAATTTTGTTAATTTTTTAAGGACGAATTGTGGTGCGAGGATTACCACACGTCCTCCGCTGGATTGCATAAAAAATCTAGTGTGAGAAAGTGCGTGGGTGACCCGACGAATTCTTCCGAGGTTAACGAGCAATTTAGCTTGAGCTTTGACGGGTTGGAAGTGTTAAAAAAAGTCTCCAAAATTGTGTCATCTAGTGAGGAATCCTGCTCTAGACACATTCAGATGCGAGGAAACGTAAAAAACTGAATTGATAAAAACATCGTCTCGTGCTTGAATACACGCGTGCGCGTCAACTTGTATTGCGTAAAGGATCGAAATTCGACAACAAAAGCCAAACTCGGCTTCGCTCTCCTGGCCTTCAGTTGTTAATATGAAATATTGACCCACACTCTCGACGCTAAAGTTAACGTGGTTGGTGACAGTGAAAAATCAATAGAAACTAGTGCAAAATTAAGGCTGCTTGCGGTCGTGTATTTAAACGGATAAAATGTGCCTTTAAAGCTAGTGTTCGTGAAAGAGCTAAGCATGTTCAGCATCGGCAAGTTTAAGTGTAATCAATCAAGATTGCTGGAACTAAAAACATCAAAAATCAATCGATAATCGAATTAATTTAGTAAAAAAGTAAATATTCTAGAGTCAACTGGTTAAAAGGAATGACCTCAAAACTTGTGATTGGACAGTTAAAAAGGATATAGCGTACCTTCGCAAGGGATATCTGACTTGTTTAAAGGTAAGTTCATTATTCGTGCGCATTAAATTTAGACAAAAACTCCTAACAATACCTTCTTAGGGTATAATACAAAGGAGAAAGCTGATTGATTGGGTTCCTCCTGGGAGGAGACCAAGGGGACGCCCAGTGAAAGGTGTCGACAAGGGATTTTGAAGGAAATGAGGGAGTGCCAACTCCCTGACGCGTCGTGGGAGGACTGGGTACTGTGGAGGTTAGGCGTCGCAGAGCGCCAGAGAGCGCTGTGAAAGCGTCTCTTATATGTAAGTACGTAGAACCCCGAGGAAAAATGAATCTTCTACTGGTGAAAAAGCGCAAGTATTTTCTTAGTGATGCGAGGAAAATTCTTAAATTAATTGCGCAGACATTTTTTAATTCTTAAAAAAGACGGCAAATTTTTAGGCATATTGGCAAAATTAAGGACGGTCAGCCCTCTCCTTCTGCGCAGAACAATTAAGGGAGGGGGGGGGGAATCAAAGTTTCCGTAACTCTACCTTTGCAAAAATTGAGAACCTACTTGGGGGTTAATTTTCCAAAACTATTCCCGATGCCGAATAAAGTCGGTCGACATTCCAACATTGGATTCCTTTCCTCTCTTTGCGCGTTTAAAATGGCCTGAAAAGACGATGGTCTAATGTCTAAACGTCCAATCTTACGTTGTTAGATTGGGTAGTTAACTCATTTGTGAAAGACTACAGACAGCAGAGCTCTAAACAAGTCAGCGTGGCCTCAAATCCCGCGAGCTGCACATACACAATAGACAGAGGAGTCTCGATTATCCGCGATACGGATTAACCGCGTTTTTTTTTCGGTGGCTTTTTTCATAAAAGCAAAAGGAAATTTGAGAGCCAATCTAGGTATTCAATTTTAATGAAAAGTCTCCTCAAACGTACGGAAAAGATCGCAACCCAAACACGTGACGATTCTACAGCGCTTCTGTAAAAATTTACTTCCAGATCATGATGTTTGCCAAAAGAACCTCTTTAAAGATGAAGTGTATTCATTATTAGCTAATGTTAACATTTTTGTCAACTTTTTGACAATAGACAACTTTTTTTTAATAGAGTCTTTTAAAGTACGGCTTTATCGAGCACTTCACCGGGGTAGAACTCCGGGGCTTATTTTTGGAGTTTCCGCGGTAGTTCCGGTTCCAATCACCGCGGATAACCGAGACTACTCATTTGCGGATCCAGAAAATTGGCAACATTGCTTTTCTCCATTTAAACCTATAGAAATGTATCGATTATTGAAGGTGTCAGATGCTCCGACAAGAATCGATTATTTAACATAGGTCTAAATAGAGGAAATCCGGTGTTGCCACATTGTTGGATCCGCTTCTGGCTCTACTTCACATGTGCCTTATGAGGTATGAGATTAGGGAACGAAAGGGGAAAGGGAACAGTTTCAATAAAGGCACTCGAGTCAAAATTCCAGCCCGCACTCCAAGTACAGCTCGAGCACGTCGCGTTGACGCACCGGCGAGTGCGCTTGAGTGGGGAATAATCAAACTGTACTTTCGGTGCAACTTCCGGTGTCAAAATGAAGCTACTTCCGTTCGATTCACGGATTCCAATGAGGAATCATTATCAATCCCATCGATTCGCGTCCTAAATTGGACGTATTTCTGACAAACAGAATTGTGAGCATTAAGACGTGAGCCCTGAGACCCATAAGAATGTATGCACAACAGGGCTCACGTCATAATGCACATAGTTCCGTTTGGCAGGAATACGTCCAATTAACGAGCGAGTGCGTGACGTTGTCATACTGTGCGAGGAATTCCTTACTTTAAGGATCATCCGGAGAGTGAAGGGTGTTTTTTGCAACTCTACAATCCGAAAAAAAAAATCTGAAATACTTTAAAATTATTTCGGGAAACTCGTCGAAAATAATAAGGTTATATCCTGAAGTTGCAACTATGTCGGATTCGAAAATATTTTTAAAATGCCCAAAACTCGTTGAAAATAGTCGAACGTCTTTGATGTCATACAATCGTTTCTTCTTTAAAAAAAAAAGAAAAAAAGAAGGGAAAAAAGCGGATTCTTAAGTTATTTTCGAAAATACTGTCAGGAGGTTTTTCGAAATACATTTTCAACATTTTTAAGTACAGATACTTCATCATGAAAATGTTTAAAAAGGATCTCAAAAACATTTTCACGGTATTATTGCCATTATGAACATCTCAATCTTAACAATCTTTACACTATTTTATAAAATAGCCAAAATCTTGTTGACACGCAGGATTTATGATCAAGAGGTTATCAGCGTGATACAATTTATATTATTTTGAGTTTGCGCCAGTGCTACCGTTGTAATCGTTACAACAGCTTTAAAGCCAGCACTACAAAAGATGCAATCTCTTTGCATATTCTATGGAAAATTCTTCGCTTAACACGTTTTTTGCTGGCATAGTATGTGCAGTGTGCACTGTACCAACTATCAGATGGAGGTTGAACTGCGCGGAGCAGTCAAGGGGCACAGCCTCTAAAAATGATGATAAGAATCTCAACAAGTTGTTGTAGTACAAGTTAGCGTGGCGAGGAATTTCGTGGACTCGTCATGAAATTCCTCATGGTGGTTCTAATGGATCCTTGTGGATGTATAGATAATCACTAGAGGCGTGCTTAAAAATCGCCTTCAAAAAATGAGTATGCAACCCCCCGACGGCTGTGCTCGAATAGTTATCGTTCGGATTAAGGCGGCAGTTGACGGATCGCCCGCGCTCGTAAGAAATGATGCAGTTGAGGTTGAGGCCCGTTGGTTATCAAATAGATGATGGTTATTCATTCATAAAAGAACCAATCCGCAAGTGGAAGATAATGGTACGAATGTTGTTTCTAAAACCATCCAGAGATAGTATGTTTCCCAATTGCATTAATTACACAATCCAGGTGTACAATTCATCGTTTTCCCGACGAAAGAATGTAACAGCATTTTAAAGTGCGAAATTTCCACCCACAATTCGAACTTTCACTCCGAAACCATCAGGGGTTTTCAACTGAAAATGTCGATAATCATCCTTCAAATTGAACGCAAAAATCAGTCAAATTTTGGATAAGTCATATTCCTGTGAAAAATGGAATTGTTTGGAATTCCTTGACCTTTCCAACGTTTCTTCGTCGCACAATGACACAAACCTTTAGAAGAAGTCGTACACAATTTATTTTACGAAACTGAAATTTTTCTGTTTATTCCGTCTAATTATGCATTTTATGGGGTGCGTTCGGGAGGCAATTTGACGCGAAAACAAAGGCCATTTCAAACCAAAGCCATTTTCAAACTCCTACAATTCAAATAATATCGAGGTGATCTTTTAAAATTTCCACAACATGTCCATCTTCTCTTCAATTACCTGCGTCGGGGGGGGGGCGGCAGGGGCGAATTTTAGTTGCGGGGGAGGGGGGCAGATAAAAAAGGAGAGTATATCAAGTATATGCTCCCAGTATAAACGATGAACCCCATCCATATACTTAGCCACGAAAATTAGTCGCAACTCCGAATTCGGGACCGAGAATCGGCCCTTCAAAGCTGCTCGTAGCTTCTATTCAGGGGGCGTTAAACCCTTTCGCCCCGGCTGACGTCAGGGTTAATCAACTAAGTGATTAGTGGCGCATTCTCCACGCGCGACGATGTCCGTTGCCGGATTATCCGGGCCGGGTTGGCGGGAAAATCGGTAACGGCGTCGCTATAGCAACAGGCGTCGGATTGATTGTCACCTCGGCGTCGCGTCGCGGCGTCCGATCGAAAGCGTTATAACCGAGTGACCGGATTAGGAAACTGGCGCGGAACTTTGACTTTCCGTAACGAGTAAGGAGCTGTGTCCGAGTGCGAGAAATACCCTTCTTTGGCAGCGAGCCCTGAGGCACCGCCACCCGCTGTGCTCCACAATGCGCGCTTTTTTCTGCTCCACCGAGACGAACTTTTTGCCGCAGTTTTTCCTTGAGATTCCACGCGGGGTCGTTCGTGAGATCGATACTGCCGTGCTGAGCAAGAAGGAAAAACGCTGCAGAGGATCTAGTCTGCCGTTTTAGGGGTAAACACCGTATGAACATTCAAGAGTTGCCAAACTTCCTCCAATAAAATGTTTATTGTAAAGGAGACTTGTGAATATTTTTGATTGGATTTTTCAGGTGATTTAAATCTGATCGCGATTGAAATTTTCTGCAAAATTCGAGGAAAAATATTCACAGATTTCCCGGAAAATTTATAATTTATCAGAGGATGCACTTGATCTGACGTGCGCAAATTGTCGCAGAACATCATTGCAAAGTCGGTGCGCACATGCTTGTATACTCAGGTGGTGCGCCGTCCTCATCAAGTACCTTGCTTTGCTCATCAGAGTAAAAAAAAATTCTCTATCGAAAGATTTGACACAGTATGACGCGGCAAAGTGTCCGAAATGTTGAGCGCAAAAACGCCTTCATTTTGATGCATATGCAGCCCGAACAACTCTCAAGCAAGTATAGTTGCATCCAGACACTGCATTATCATGCTGCCGTGCTAAGAAAGAGCACCGTATACTCATTCGAGAGTTGCCAAATTTCCCTTCATAAAACATGTATTTTTGACCACATTCATGTTTTTTTTCCTTGAAATTTTCAGATATTTTCGATAAAATTGCGTAAAAAATTGTCCGAAAATTTTGGAAAATAATATTCGCAATTTTTTAAGTAAATTCGGGCTTTATCGGAGGAAACTTGGCGACGTCTAAAGACTCATACGGCATTCTTCCGTAGCACGGCAGTATGTTCGTCGCAAGACATTCGTGACATTATGTGGGGCTGCAAAATACCGCGACCCACTAATAAGCGACCCCTCCAGGCCCAGGTAAAAATTGGCAGTAGAATCTGTGTTCCAAAATACCATAGACCTACGGCCGGCTGTAAGATTTCCAATAGCTTCTATAGCCGGCTACACAATTTCTTATAGCCTTTTATAGCCGATGGCTAATAAGCAACTCACAGCCAGGCGATGAAGTGTATGCTAAACGTCACTAATTACGG